GTTACAGAGTTTAATGGTTGTGATAGGAGAAAACTGAGGATGGATCAACAACATTGTAGTTACTCCACAATACTAACCCAATTGACAGAGTGAAAAGAAGGAAGCCTGAACAGAATTTTTAAAAATCCAAAACATGTGTACTGTTTGCAACAAGGCACTAAAGTAATACTGCAAATGTGGCAAAGCAATTTACTTTTTGTCTTGAAAACAAAGTGTTATATTTGGGGGAAATCCAATACAACACATTAATGAGTACCACTCTCCATATTTTCAAGCATAGTGGTGGCTGCATCATGTTATCGTTAAGGACTGGGGAGTTTTTCAGGATAAAAAAGAAATGGAATGGAGCTAAGCACACGCAAAATCCTAGAGAAAAACCTGGTTGAGTCTGCTTTCCACCAGACACTGGGAGATGAATTCACCTTTCAGCAGGACAATGATGAATACACCTTTCAGCAGGACAATAACCTAAAACACAATGCCAAATCTACACTGGACATGCTTACCAAGAAGACAGTGAATGTGGCCGAGTTACAGTTTTCACTTAAATCTACTTGAAAATCTATGGCAAGACCTGAAAATGGTTGTCTAGCAATGATCAACAACCAATTTGACAGTGCTTGAAGAATTTTGAAAAGAATAATGGGCAACATTTGCACAAACCATGTGTGGAAAGCTCTTAGAGACATACCCAGAAAGACTCACAGCTGTAATCGCTGCCAAAGGTGCTTCTACAAACTACTGACTCAGGGTTGTGAATACTTACAGTTGAAGTCGGAAGTTTACATACACCTTAGCCAAATACATTTAAACTCAGTTTTTCACAATTCATGACATTTAATCCTAGTAAAAATTCCCTGTTTTAGGTCAGTTAGGATCACCACTTTATTTTAAGAATGTGAAATGTCAGAATAATAGTAGAGAGAATTATTTATTTCAGCTTTTATTTCTTTCATCACATTCCCAGTGGGTCAGAAGTACATACACTCAATTAGTATTTGGTAGCATTGCCTTTAAATTGTGTCAAATTGGTAGCCTTCCACAAGCTTCCCACAATAAGTTGGGTGAATTTTGGCCCATTCCTCCTGACAGAGCTGGTGTAACTGAGTCAGGTTTGTAGGCCTCCTTGCTCGTGCAAGCCTTTTCAGTTCTGCCCACACATTTTCTATAGGATTGAGGTCAGGGCTTGTGATGGCCACTCCAATACTTTGACTTTGTTGTCCTTAAGCCATTTTGCCACAACTTTGGAAGTATGCTTGGGGTCATTGTCCATTTGGAAGACCCATTTGCGACCAAGCTTTAACTTTCAGACTGATGTCTTGAGATGTTGCTTCAATATATCAACATCATTTTCCTTCCTCATGATGCCATCTATTTTGTGAAGTGCACCAGTCCCTCCTGCAGCAAAGCACCCCCACAGCATGATGCTGCCCCCCCCCACCCCCCACCCCCCCGTGCTTCACGGTTGGGATGGTGTTCTTCGGCTTGCAAGCACCCCCCTTTTTTCATCCAAACATAACGATGGTCATTATGGCCAAACAGTTCTATTTTTGTTTCATCAGACCAGAGGACATTTCTCCAAAAAGTACGATCTTTGTCCCCATGTGCAGTTGCAAACCGTAGTCTGGCTTTTATATGGCGGTTTTGGAGCAGTGGCTTCTTCCTTGCTGAGTGGCCTTTCAGGTTATGTCGATATAGGACTAGTTTTACTGTGGATATAGATACTTTTGTACCTGTTTCCTCCAGCATCTTCACAAGGTCCTTTTCTGTTGTTCTGGGATTGATTCTCTAGGAGACAGAACGCGTCTCCTTTCTGAGCGGTATGACGGCTGCATGGTCCCATGTTGTTTATACTTGCGTACTATTGTTTGTACAGATGAACGTGATACCTTCAGGCGTTTGGAAATTGCTCCCAAGGATGAACCAGACTTGTGGAGGTCTACAATTTATTTTCTGAGGTCTTGGCTGATTTCTTTAGATTTTCCCATGACGTCAGTCAAGCAAAGAGGCACTAAGTTTGAAGGTAGGCCTTGAAATACATCCACAGGTACACCTCCAATTGACTCAAATTATGTCAATTAGCCTATCAGAAGCTTCTAAAGCCATGACATCCTTTTCTGGTATTTTCCAAGCTGTTTAAAGGCATAGTCAACTTAGTGTATGTAAACTTCTGACCCACTGGAATTGTGATACAGTGAATTATGTGAAACAATCTGTCTGTAAACAATTTTGGAATAATTATTTGTGTCATGCACAAAGTAGATGTCCTAACCGACTTGCCAAAACTATAGTTTATTAACAAGAAATTTGTGGAGTGCTTGAAAAATGAGTTTTAATGACTCCAACCTAAGTGTATGTAAACTTCCGACTTCAACGATATGTAAATGTATTTATGTTATTTGGTATTTCAGTATTTCATTTTTAATATATGTGCAGAAATGTCTTAAAACATGTTGTTTTCACTTTGTCATTAGGAGGTATTGTGTGTACTGTAGATGGGTGAGAAAATCTATTTAATCCATTTTGAATTCAGGCTGTAACAAAATGTGGAATTAGTCAAGGGGTATGAATACTTTCTGAAGGCATTGTAAAAATGCAATCAATCTCAACTCCCATTCAAAGGCATGCATGGACAGAAGCGTTCCTTTTTATGATGCTTGGAGTAGAAAACAGAGTGGGATAGACCCCAGATAGACATATAGCAGCAGACCAGGAGAAACAGGGATATTACTCGTAGGTTAGATCCCAGATCAGATGGATGAGCATCATTCTCCTCAAGCATGGGCCAGTCAGGGGTGACAGTGACACAGCCAACCAGTGAGAATTAACCACACATTTAGAGTCTTGAATGTGTTCATCTTCCATCTGCTGTGTCTGAGAGATTCTCACATGCTAAGAAGTGTCCTCTCTACTGACTGACTGTCAATCCTATCCTCAGTCTCCTAAGTCCCCATTTGCCTGACCCATAGAGATCAGTCCAGCTCAAACGGTATAGTACAAAGGGAAGGACAGAGTACACACACCTCTGATCTTGTCGCAACAGTATGGAAACCTTTTCGCCTCATTAAGTCCTGTAAGCGTAAAACGCTACTTCTTCTTCCATTTCCTAAATGTCAACCAATTTTGCCATCGATAGGAATTCAGCATCTTTTTGTTCTCTGTCTCTTTAACAAAAGGACTCAGTGGAGACTCGTGAGATAAGATTTGAGGCACATAATGCACATACAGCGCATTCGGAAAGTATTCAGACCCCTTGACTTTTCCCACATTTTGTTACGTTACAGCCTTATTCTAAAATTGATAAAATTCAATCAATCTACACAAAATACCCCATAATGACAAAGCGAAAACAGCTCTTTATAAATTGTATTTACATAAGTATTCAGACCCTTTGCTATGAGACTCGAAATTGAGCTCAGGTGCATCCTGTTTCCATTTATCATCCTTGAGATGTTTCTACAACTTGATTGGAGTCCACCAGTGGTAAATTCAATTGATTGGACATGATTCGGAAAGGCACACACCTGTCTATATAAGGTCCCACAGTTGACAGTGCATGTCAGAACAAAAACCAAGGCATGAGGCCGAAGGAATTGTCCGTAGAACTCCGAGACAGGATTGTGTCGAGGCACAGATCTGGGAAGGGTACCAAAACATTTCTGCAGCACTGAAGATCCCTAAGAACACAGTGGCCTCCATCATTCTTAAATGGAAGAAGTTTGGAACCACCAAGACTCTTCCTAGAGCTGGCCGCCCGGACAAACAGAGCAATCGGGGGAGAAGGGCCTTGGTCAGGGAGGTGACCAAGAACCCGATGGTCACTTTGACAGAGCTCCAGAGTTCCTCTGTGGAGATGGGAGAACCTTCCAGAAGGACAACAATCTCTGCAGCACTCCACCAATCAAGCCTTTATGGTAGAGGGGCCAAACGGAAGCAACTCCTCAGTAAAAGGCACATGACAGCCCGCTTGGAGTTTGCCAAAAGGCACCTAAAGGACTCTCAGACTCTCTGGTCTGATGAAACCAAGATTGAACTCTTTGGCCTGAATGCCAAGCGTCACGTCTGGAGGAAACCTGGCACCATCCCTACGTTGAAGCATGGTGGTGGCAGCATCATGCTGTAGGGATGTTTTTCAGCGGCAGGGAATGGGAGACTAGTCAGGATCGAGGGAAAGGTGAACGGAGCAAAGCACAGAGAGATCCTTGATGAAAACCTGCACCAGAGTGCTCAGGACCTTAGACTGGGGCGAAGGTTCACCTTCCAATAGGACAACGACCCTAAGCACACAGCCAAGACAACGCAGGAGTGGCTTTGGGACGAGTCTCTGAATGTCCTTGAGTGGCCCAACTTGAACCCAGCTGAACTTAGCTGTGCAGCGACGCTCCCCATCCAACCTGACAGATCTGCATAGAAGAATGGGAGAAACTCCCCAAATACAGTTGTGTCAAGCTTGTAGCGTCATACCCAAGAAGACTAGAGGCTGTAATCGCTGCCAAAGGTGCTTCAACAAAGTACTGAATAAAGGGTCTGAATACTTTTGTAAATGTGATATTTCAGTTTTGTATTTTTTATAAATTTCCCAAAAATTCTAAAAACCTGTTTTTGCTTTGTCATTATGGGGAATTGTGTGTAGATGTGTTGATGAGGGGAAAAAACTATTTAATCCATTTTAGAATAAGGCTGTAACGTAACAAAATGTGGAAAAGGTCAAGGGGTCTGAATACTTTCCGAATGCACTGTAAACCCCTTAAAATGATCTCTACCTTGAGTTTACATTCAAGAGTACACAACTGAAGAGCAATTATGATTAAGTTAAGAGAAATTACAGCTTTGCTCTGTTTGAATGACAATCCCTGTAGAGTGAAACAAGCAAGGTTGTTTTTAAGGGGAAGCATGTCATGTGGTTGTCTAAAATCTTATCTGATGGGACACATTGGACGAGGGCTTCTTTGGCAACTTGAACGAGAAGAGAAACTACAGGTAAAAAAACAGGACATTTAATTGTGAGTCAAACACTGGAAGCGGTTCTTAAAATAGAGGAGGCCGTTTTTGGTGTGTGTTGTGTCCGAGGAGGCTGGTGGGTAGCGGAACTTGGCGTAAGTCTTGTCACTCTCTGATTGGCTGACCCAGGGAAGCTTGATCTTGGTGGCGTGATTGACGATGACGTCATCACAGGATCCCACGTGAAGTGAGCCAAGGCCATCGATGAAAAACTCTGTGACAAGAACCAAGGGGTCAGAGCAGTTAGTTTTTATGCTGAGGGCACTTCAAGTATCACACAATTTATATGAACAAATGCAACTAACAAACATGAGAAGAAGCTATTTTGTTCCCTCCTCAAGCTTTTGGATAACTGATAATGACTATTAAGACTGCAAAAAGGGGTTTTGTGCCCAAGTATCCAAATGTACTGTTACCTATATGACCTCCTTCCAAATGTAGATGGTGCAGCTCAGGGGTGAAATTGGGAATACAGAGGTAGAGGAGCCCTATTTGGAGAGGTTAGGATGAGGGTTGAGCCAGTGTTGAACACAAGGTTAGGGTTATGTCAGGATTAGTGTTAGGGTTATGGCTAGGGTTGAACCAGATTGTGGACATGAAGCTAGGGTTAAGGCTAGGGTTAGTACTTTTATCCTACTTTCTATCCTACTCCTCTTTGAACCAGTACGGTGCAGGAGCCCAGCTCCGGGTAGCTCCGGCTAAATTTAACCACTGGTGCAGTTGATGTTGTGGACAGGTACACCCTGTGCGGTGCTGGGGTTTGGGGCCATACTCACCCAGGTGGGCCACTCTGGCCAGGCGGGGGTCGAAGCCCACCTGCTGGACCTTGTCTGTGCGGGCCAGGAAGAAGTTGATGACCCCGTCAGTGACCACGCAGTTTGGGAAGCCCTGGATGATGTGGTGGAAGGCCCTCCGCATGTGCAGGCAGTCACCCTCCTCCTCCCCTGGCTCAATGGAGATGGTCTGCCTGTAGGTGGCAGTATAGCCTGTGGCCTCCCGCACTGCACCACCCACCTAAATCACACACACACACACACACACACACACACACTGCATTAACTGATTCTGACACACACATACACATCAAGCACTGAACACAGATTTTCACAAATATTGTGTAGTGTGTACAATGCATAAACAAACATTAAGGATACTCCCAATTGTCTGAAATTGATATTGAGTGCATGCTGTAGTGATTTGATATACGAGGAAACCAATGGAAACCGAGGGGTTGGGTTAAATGCGGAAGACACATTTCAGTTTAATGCATTCAGTTGTACAACTGACTAGGTATCCCCCTTTCCCTTGATCATTTATTTTTTCCAAAGGACACAATGTTTTACTGTCTGTGCTTTTGTGGACCGAAGAAATAACTGATTCAAAGTGTCCACCAGACCAGCTGCTGACATGTGTAACCCATAGACTTCCCTCTCAAGAGCTGGAGTCCCAGTCTATGGTACACAAGGTCTATTCTATTCCCCCAGCCCATAGTAAGGTATCTGAGTGGGAATCGGGATCCATACAAAACCCCCTTCATCCAGCATCATGTGGGTGTCAGCTTTTTGGGCTTTTGTGTTTTACTTTGTGTTTTGTGCATGCTTAATATTGCTGTGGTGTGCATGTGCTACAAAGCAAGAATATGCCTTTACGCATCGGTGAAGAAGAGGGAGAGAGAGATGGAGAGTGTGAAATTGCTTGCATCTGTGTCTGTGTCCGAGTTTGTTTTCTTCTGTAACTAGAGAACAAGGCCGGGATTCAATCTTATTGCACTTGTAGCTTTTAAAGGCAAAGCTACCGTGTTCGAGAGACAGGATGTGGCTAGCTAGGTCATCAACATCAACAGAGGGGAACGCCTCTTCCACATTTTCCTAATTTGTCATCTTCAGAAGACAGCTAGGATAGTTTATTTCAATACTCTTTTCATGATGAGCTGTAAATCAAAATTATTTTAAAACGTTAATTGAACTCAAGTTGTGTCTGTCTGGCAAAACGACTAGAGTGTGGATTGTGTTCCCTCATGCTACCCAAGACGGAATGTGCTGAATCGTGTAGGAGCTGTTTTTGGCTCTGCAGAGTAGCTCCCAGTGAGTAACAATGTGTTCAGAGTCCGGAGAATGCTTCTGAACTGGCATTGACTGTTGCACAGAAAGTGTTGAATTATGTCTTAGCAAAATATGTCAGACACCACTAACTAAAAGAGTATAACTATTTCGAACACTCATAACCGCGGACAGTAGGGGTGCCGAGGGTGCTGCAGTAGTTTTAGAGAAACATATTTTTTCCCCAAAGATAGTGCACTGGGCCTTTACTAGTCCTGTATTTTTCCAGTTTTTGTAACACATATGATATTTCACTTCTGGATTTTCACATGTGAAATCATGTTAAACCATGTGTTTTTGGAACACTTCACATGTGATGATATTTAACATGAGATTTCACAGGTGATGCCCTGCATACACAAATGTGTCATTATGATACACACAGTGATTTTAACTTACATATTTGACACACGACTACATTGTGTATGTTTATTTATACTGTAATTATTATTCAACATGTCCTTATCTGGGATTTGAACTCACAACCTCTTGGTTCACAGCATTCTGATCATCCTGCTATGCCACCATGTCTGTGTCAATAACTGATGTTTACCTGTATTCCTACCATTTGGTCTTCAAAGTACATCTCAGCTTTGTTAAAAATACACTCAAGAAAAACTATTATATTTATCATAGTGATTCAGGTGTAACATTTAACCAGGATAATATGCCCCACCAACATTAGACAGCTCAAATTGCTGAAATAAGTAAATGTAATCAATGATGAGAGAATAGTCAGAATAACTGATAGAATAACTAAAATAGCAGTGCAGATGGCTCTCTTTTGCTAAGTGCAGAGGTGTATTATAGGTATTGAATGTGTATGAGAATGCTACAGACTTTGTGGCGTAGCAGAAAGGGCAGTGTACCTCAAATCCAGAGGTTGTGAATTCAAGGATTTTTCCTGTAGGTTACTGGCTACGTTTTGCCAGTAAGTTACTGTGATTTTTACAATAACTTACTAACTAGTAATTACCAGGTAAGAAATGACAAATTCACAGCAACTTCTGACAACAAGTTAACATTAACTTACTGGAAAATGCACAATAAGCTCACAATAGTGCAGCTCATTACTGGCACATTCTCTTACAACAGGAATGGGGGGGATCTTAGTGCGCCCATCCCTGATGTAAGAGAATGCGTCAGTAATGAGCTGCATTGTAAAAGAGGTTATTGTGCATTTTCCAGTAAGTTAATGGCAACTTGTTGCCAGAAAATTGCATGAAATTTGTTATCAAATTGCTAAATCTTCTCTCCGCCCCATGGCAAAATGTGTAGAATTACAGCAAACTAGCTTTAAAACAGAAACATTTTCTCGGAATCCCATAGAAAAATGTGCAGAACAGACAGTGTCAAAGGTGGTGCTTAAGTTACATTGGCATAACAATCAAAACACTTAAACTGCTACAACACTTCCACTGACGGTTCGCACAAATATTTCACCATGCCCCCAAATATGCTAATGAACCCCACCAGTACTTTATATTCAAAATATTAGGTTGAAAAATGTCCCATTATACCTACAAGGTACAAAACTGTACCATGTGAGTTCAAGTGCATCTTTGACCTTTTTGTACCCCAGGGAACACTAGTGTACCCTAACCATACCATTGTGTTTAGTGCATTCGGAAAGTATTTTTGTTACGTTACAGCCTTATTCTAAAAAGGATTCAATTGTTTTTTTCCCCTCATCAAATCTACACACAATACTTCATAATGACAAATTTATAAAAAAATAAAAACTGAAATATTACATTTACATAAGTATTCAGACCCTTTACTCAGTACTTTGTTGAAGACACCTTTGTCAGCGATTACAGCCTCGAGTCTTCTTGGGTATGACACTACAAGCTTGGCACACCTGTATTTGGAGAGTTTCTCCCATTCTTCTCTGCATATCCTCTCAAGCTCTGTCAGGTTGGGTGGGGAGCATCGCTGCACAGCTATTTTCAGGTCTCTCCAGAGATGTTCGATCGGGTTCAAGTCAGGGCTCTGGCTGGGCCACTCAAAGACATTCAGAGACTTGTCCCGAAGCCACTCCTGCGTTGTCTTGGCTGTGTGCTTAGGGTTGTTGTCCTGTTGTTGGAAGGTGAGAGCTCTGGAGCAGGTTTTCATCAAGGATCTCTCTGTGCTTTGCTCCGTTCATCTTTCCCTCGATCCTGACTAGTCTCACAGTCCCTGCTCCTGAAAAAATCCCCACAGCATGATGCTGCCACCACCATGCTTCACCGTAGAGATGGTGCCAGTATTCCTTGCTTGGCATTCAGGCCAAAGAGTTCGATCTTGGTTTCATCAGACCAGAAAATCTTGTTTCTCATGGTCTGAGAGTCCTTTAGGTGCCTTTTGGCAAACTCCAAGTGGGCTGTCATGTGCCTTCTACTGAGGAGTGGCTTCCGTCTGGCCACTCTACCATAAAGGTCTGATTGGTGGAGTGCTGCAGAGATGGTTGTCCTTCTGGAAGGTTCTCCCATCTCCACAGAGGAACTCTGGAGCTCTGTCAGTGTGACCATCAGGTTCTTGATCACCTCCCTGACTAAGCCCCTTCTCCCCTGATTGCTCAGTTTGGCCGGGCGGCAAGCTCTAGGAAGAGACTTGGTGGTTCTAAACTTATTCCATTTAAGAATGATGGAGGCCACTGTGTTCTTGGGGACCTTCAATGCTGCAGAAATGTTTTGGTACCCTTCCCCAGATCTGTGCCTCGACACAATCCTGTCTCGGAGCTCTTCGGACAATTCCTTCAACCTCATGGCTTGGTTTCTGCTCTGACATGCACTGTCAACTGTGGGACCTTATATAGACAGGTGTGTGCCTTTCCAATCAATTGAATTTAACACAGGTGGACTCCAATCAAGTTGTAGAAACATCTCAAGGATGATCAATGGAAACAGGATGCACCTGAGCTCAATTTCAAGTCTCATAGCAAAGGGTCTGAATACTTATGTAAATAATGTATCTGTTTTTTATTTTTTATACATTTGCAAACACTTCTAAAAACCTGTTTTCGCTTTGTCATTATGGGGTATTGTGTGTCGATTAATGAGGACATTTTTTATTTAATCTATTTTAGAATAAGGCTGTAACGTAACAAAATGTGGAAAAAGTCAGTGGGTCTGAATACTTTCCAAATGCACTATATGTTCCAAGCAATAAGTATGAAACATTGATGCACTCCCAACCAAGATGTTTAATCCCCAAATAATTAATGTATACTCTACAACGCCAAGTGTCCTCGAGTTTTACGTTAATGTTACGTTGGTGGTGATAATTGGACAATTATTTACTTGATTCTGGGAAGCTTTAAGCAAAGTGCAGAAAGTCTGTGGCCCATAATGCTTTCACACTCACAGATCTGGTGGTGTAGCTGCACTGTATCAGGACATTCCAGGTTGCTACCAACAGAGTTTATGAGTTCAAATCCCATTTAAGGCTAAGTCCCAGTTCTGGTCACAGTACAAAATTATACAAGATTTTACAGTAATTGAAATCAGAATACAGCAGCATATTGTCAATTTATAGAAATATACAATGTTTTTGTATATATTTACTTTATTTTTACTGCAACTTTAGGCAAAGTGCAGAAGTGTATTTTAAGCAATAAATATATAGCCAATCTTCAATTTATCCACATAATTGGTGGCGCAGCAGGAACTTCAGGTAGCTAGCAACAAAGAGGTTGTGAGTTCAAATCCCAAGTGAGGTTAAGTCCCAAGTTATCAGCATACAGCATCATATTGTCCTTCACATTAACACTTTAATTTAGCTGTAAAAAATACAGTATCAGTCATGGTATCACATTTGAAAAATGTGCCTCCCGATGTTGTCACATGTATTTTACATGAGATTGTGTTTTCACGTGCTCACATGTTGTCACATGTAGTTTGATGTTATCAAATGTTGAGATTTTGCATCCCCATGTTGTCGCATTTATTTCACATTAATTTCACATGAGATCATGTTCTCACATGTGCTAACATGTTGTCATGTATAGTTTTACGTTATCACATGTTGCTTCACATGTTGTTACGTGATCACATGAGATCACACAAGATCACGTTTTTTCCATAAGGGTCAGCAAATTATGTCACACCCCCAAAAGACCCATCATCAAAGGAGGGTGGTTTGAACAGTCCCATGCTGTGTTAAAATCACTACTTTAGCAGCAATACAGCAGACCTGGGTTCAAACACTACTTGAAATAATTTCAAATACTGCACCTGTGCTTAATTGAGCTTACCTGTTGCAATGGAACCAATTGAAAAGTCTCAAAAGGGAAAACCCCTCTCTCTTCAGGCAGGCTAACACAAATGCTCAAAGTATTTGAAAGATTTCAAATAGTATTTGAACCCAGGTCAGCAATACAGTATGGCACGGCCTGTGCCCCCTCACCAGGTCCAGGGTGGTCTTCTCCAGGACGTCCACCAGTTTCTCCAGCTTGGTGTTGGCTGTGAAGATGAAGTCATCATCCACCCACAGCACATACTTAGTGGTCACCTGGGAAACAGCTAGGTTCCGTCCTGCAAACCAGCCCTAGTTGTTGTGACAGAGAACAGGATGTGGGACAAAGGAAGCAAAAGCAGTGATAGGACAACTAAGGACATTTTTTTCAAGAACATTGCTGACATTCCTTCCCAACCTTTTCAATGAAGGGCATCTGTCAAGTATTATTTAAGCAAACAATGTTATTGCTAGACAAAAACTATACTTTACAAGTACACTGGTTCCCATACATTAAAGAGGCAGCAGTGTTTAAAAAAAACCTTTCCAAATGGCATGATGTAATGTTCGATGTAGGGGCCAGAGACTGTCTTGGGGTTTTTGCTGTCATCAGCTATTACTATGGTGACAGTGGGATAGTATTGTCGCACGCTGTCGATGAGATCTTGGAGCTTGTCATAGCGCATGAAAGTTTTGGTTGCTATGGTAACAAGGGCACTGATGTTGTATTCTAGATTGAGAACAGAGAGAGACAAAAAGTTAGGGTCTTTGACATTACTTACGTTACACATTCATCTCAGATGTCATTTTGGTTATTTTTTAGTAAGTGTTGTGCTGTTGTGAGATGCAGTCGACCGTTATATTTGTCGACATACCCCCTTTGGGTCCCGTGTTGTAGAGTTTTGGAGTTACACCATGACGGATCTTGATGGTGAACATGGCTTGGTGTCCCTCTGTCTCAAACTGCACTGAAAGACATAGTGAGAGTATTTTCAACCTCATTACCACAAATCTATTCCAGACGGTATTTGGCGTAGGTCTTTGATAATATACACAACCAATAAAGTAGTAGTCCACCATAAAGTCAGATGTGTCTGGCCTCACCTGTGTCTGCTGTACTAGGGTGGAACAGTGTGTTGGTGTAGGAGACAAACTGTAACTGCCGGTTCAGGTTGGGCAGCAGGCTGCTCATCAGGGTCATGTGCATCTCCCCATCACCTTTGACCTTTACCCCCTCAACCTCCGCTGCCACATTTAACGCTCCCAGGGTGGAGGTGAAGTTGACCTAAGAAAGAAAAAAATTAAGGAGACAGGGAACAAAGAAGATAAAGCAGTAAGGAAATATTATGTTTTTTAATTGACAAAGACCAGACAGATGGAATAGTACTGGAAATAATAACTCAAACCAAATGTTATTAGTCTACTTACTGTGTACAGCTCTCTGGGAATGTCTTGTAAGGCAAGTCCTGAAAACATCTGACATCAATTTACTGGCATATTTGATTAAGCAGCTGGATGTTAATCCAATCCAAATACACCACATCAACTGTCAGCTGGAGTAAACACTTTCTCGGTTGTGCAACAAAATACTATTCTCTGCTCTAAAACAGTCATCCAGAGCAGCAGGTTATCAAGGTAGTAATAATGGTAATGGTAGAAATAGTAGTTGTCAGTGGGTGTAATAATAATACAAGTACATGTTAGATTGTTGAAACACCTATTGTCTGTCTCTTTAAAATACTGAGTTTTACCTCCCTGTAAGAATACCCTGATGAAGGTAATTTGAGACCGATACGTTGGTGATCCATTAAATTGTTGGAAGCGTCAAGATTACTTGTGCTTGAGTTTTCTTTTATTTATATATATTGTTGTAAGAGGACAGTCGTTCCCTGAATTTGTAGCTTCATCTAACTACACTTCTCTTTCTGTGCTTCCCTTATTTTACCAGGTTTCCTTTACAAATTAGGTTTTAAATATCAAGGTACCTTCTCGTTTATATCAAGGTAAAAAGTAACTAATCCCTGTTATAAGTCAGACCTGGGATGAGGATGGTTTTGAGCGGCCGTACTTCCACCCCCTGTGTTGGGTACTGCAGAGGATTGTTGGCCTCTGCCACAATGAGCATATCTACAGGAGTCTGAGACCTGGAGGGGGACAGATACACATCAGGTTAATAATCAGTATTCAAAGCTATTACAGCTAGAATGAAGCATCATGAACTCTATTACGCTATTTGTTTCAAAGCTGGGGTAATGTTGACATCCACTCCTTCAAAAGACCTACAGCAAGTTTAACCTAAACCTAAGAATTTACAAGCTTTGAATTGAATCACATGAAAGGACAGACACAGCAACTTCCCCTAGTGTAAGGAATAACTAAGATGATATATGGGATGTCCTTCCCTTTCAGTTCTGTGCTGGTGTACAGTCCTGTGCTCTCACCTCATCTTGAAGCCCTGGTACTCCTTGGCCCTCCGTTTTTTCATCTCCTCCAGCTCAGAGGCCTCAAAAGCAGTGTGCAGGGGGTGGGCCGACACCCGTGGGAACAGCAGCTGGCCAAAGGGCAGGTTCACGCCACCACTCTCACCCTCACACATGCACCCGTTACGTGGCAACAGACTGGAGAGAGATGAAAGGGACGATAGGATTCCATCAATTAAATGACAATGAAACAAAATATAGGAATTATTTAGAAGGCCTTATTTCAAACACTGACCCTGCAACACTCTCCTTCAGGCGATAGGGGATGTGGGCAGATCTGTGGTCCAGTTCTGGGAGCCTCTCCTCCAGGTGCCTCTCTACTACAGGCCCTGGTCTCTGGCGGACATCCACGGTGGTGTAGGCCCGGGTGGGCCAAGAATGGAGGAGGGCCACCACCAACACCACTGATGCCACAATGGCCAACAACACTGTCTTCCTCAGGGAACGCATCCTAAAAACTGGCACAGCACACAAGGACAAACAGGAGACGCGCTGCGGTCACCACCTGCTTTGGTGGTTAAGTCCAACAGTATGTGACCATATCTGAGGTGACAAGATTAGCCTAATTGCTGGATGAATTGAATGCTGCCATGATTCGGTTATCTTCAGATACAGTAAATGGCAGCTTAGAGTATCACATGACATCTGATTTGAACACTTTCTAAACAATTTTGTATTTGTTATGCATCTATATCCATTACAGTAAAAGAGAGAGCTGGTATCATACCCTACTGCCTGTATCCACTCAGAGAGAAGATGTCTCCTGTAGGCCATTGCATTCCCCAAAATCCCATAATGAACAGGTAAAGACTTTCCCCATCTGTAAACAATAACACATCAGTTATGTTTATTCAGTAGGATAACGGAAGTAACTTCTCATTTCCAAGGACACTGTATTAAAAATGGCCCAGTGAAAAATATGAACATTGGTGAAAATAAAAACAATAGATTTAGAGGGGAGGAAACTGCAACATGTAGGTACATCAAAGGTAAGGATGTTTAGCAGATATGATGGCCTTTCATAGTGATAAAGAGCTGTTAACTGAATGGTAGTGATGACGGTTGTGTTAACACCGGAGAGATGCTGAACAACATCTAGGGGGAAAGATCTACATTTCTCTACAACAAAGCTCTACAATAAGGCACAACAACAGGAGCCAAGAGAGAACTTTTTGGGTTGGTGATATTTTTTATGATAATTCCCAGTGTTCAGATAATCAAACAATTCTAATGACTCAGTTTTAAAGCAGACATGCAAGATCGCTCTGGGTCATACTAAGGTCGCTACACTAACTACTTCTTTTGGAGAATGCATCTACTGTGGCGATATCCCACTTCTGACACCAGTGCAGCGAATTCAGGTGTCACTGCGACTGTCACTGAAGCACCAACTGATATAGTTCACCGACTGATGATGACATATACAAGCCTCATTGAATTGGCTCATATGAGGCTTTGATGTCATAATCGTCTGTCAGACTATCATGTCTCTGTGACGGTGAATTATGTTACTAAGATTTCAGTATTTTTAATAATGAGATATGAACAGTTTATTTCCAAAATGCTATAGCCACCAATTCTTCAAATTTGTTTTTTTTTTCACCAGAAATGATTGCTTATGGTACCTTTGTATGTGTGTGTAAAACATTACTATTCTCAGATTTTTAATTCATAGATTTTAGCTGTGTATTAAAAATGTGTTTTTTTTGCTAAATACTATGTATCCATTGTTTAGCTGGAATGGAATGTTTGTATCCTGTATATTCGACTGTGATATGTGGTTCTCACCTAGCCATCTTAAGATGAATCACTAACTAAGTCGCTCTGGATAAGAGCATCCGCTAAATGACTAAAATGTCAAATGTAAATGTTAAACATACAGATCTCATATTACTGTATTGATTATATATATATATATATATATATATATACAGTGGGGGAAAAAAGTATTTAGTCAGCCACTAATTGTGCAAGTTCTCCCACTTAAAAAGATGAGAGAGGCCTGTAATTTTCATCATAGGTACACGTCAACTATGAAAGACAAAATGAGAAAAAAGAATCCAGAAAATCACATTGTAGGATTTTTAATGAATTTATTTGCAAATTATGGTGGAAAATAAGTATTTGGTCAATAACAAAAGTTTCTCAATACTTTGTTATATACCCTTTGTTGGCAATGACACAGGTCAAAAGTTTTCTGTAAGTCTTCACAAGGTTTTCACACACTGTTGCTGGTATTTTGGCCCATTCCTCCATGCAGATCTCCTCTAGAGCAGTGATGTTTTGGGGCTGTCGCTGGGCAACACGGACTTTCAACTCCTATGGGGTTGAGATCTGGAGACTGGCTAGGCCACTCCAGGACCTTGAAATGCTTCTTACGAAGCCACTCCTTCGTTGCCCGGGCGGTGTGTTTGGGATCATTGTCATGCTGAAAGACCCAGCCACGTTTCATCTTCAATGCCCTTGCTGATGGAAGGAGGTTTTCACTCAAAATCTCACGATACATGGCCCCATTCATTCTTTCCTTTACACGGATCAGTCGTCCTGGTCCCTTTGCAGAAAAACAGCCCCAAAGCATGATGTTTCCACCCCCATGCTTCACAGTAGGTATGGTGTTCTTTGGATGCAACTCAGCATTCTTTGCGTTTTGGAAAGAAACTCTTCATACGGTATACACCTTGATTTAGAAGAATATGAGATGCATACAGTGAGGGAAATAAGTATTTGACCCCTCTGCAAAACATGACTTAGTACTTGGTGGAAAAACCCTTGTTGGCAATCACAGAGGTCAGACATTTCTTGTAGTTGGCCACCGGGTTTGCACACATCTCAGGAGGGATTTTTGTCCCACTCCTCTTTGCAGATCTTCTCCAAGTCGTTAAGGTTTCGAGGCTGACATTTGGCAACTCGAACCTTCATCTCCCTCCACAGATTTTCTATGGGATTAAGGTCTGGAGACTGGCTAGGCCACTCCAGGACCTTAATGTGCTTCTTCTTGAGCCACTCCTTTGTTGCCTTGGCCTTGTGTTTTGGGTCATTGTCATGCTGGAATACCCATCCACAACCCATTTTCAATGCCCTGGCTGAGGGAAGGAGGTTCTCACCCAAGATTTGACGGCACATGGCCCCGTCCATTGTCCCTTTGATGCGGTGAAGTTGTCCTGTCCCCTTAGCAGAAAAACACCCCCAAAGCATAATGTTTCCACCTCCATGTTTGACGGTGGGTATGGTGTTCTTGGGGTCATAGGCAGCATTCCTCCTCCTCCAAACACGGCGAGTTGAGTTGATGCCAAAGAGCTCGATTTTGGTCTCATCTGACCACAACACTTACACCCAGTTCTCCTCTGAATCATTCAGATGTTCATTGGCAAACTTCAGCCGGCCCTGTGTATGTGCTTTCTTGAGCAGGGGGACCTTGCGGGCGCTGCAGGATTTCAGTCCTTCACGGCGTAGTGTGTTACCAATTGTTTTCTTGGTAACTATGGTCCCAGCTGCCTTGAGATCATTGACAAGATCCTCCCATGTAGTTCTGGGCTGATTCCTCACCGTTCTCATGATCATTGCAACTCCACGAGGTGAGATCTTGCATGGAGCCCCAGGCCGAGGGAGATTGACAGTTCTTTTGTGTTTCTTCAATTTGCGAATAATCACACCAACTGTTGTCACCTTCTCACCAAGCTGCTTGGCGATGGTCTTGTAGCCAATTCCAGCCTTGTGTAGGTCTACAATCTTGTCCCTGACATCCTTGGAGAGCTCTTTGGTCTTGGCCATGGTGGAGAGTTTGGAATCTGATTGATTGATTGCTTCTGTGGACAGGTGTCTTTTATACAGGTAACAAGCTGAGATTAGGAGCACTCCCTTTAAGAGTGTGCTCCTAATCTCAGCTTGTTACCTGTATAAAAGACACCTGGGAGCCAGAAATCTTTCTGATTGAGAGGGGGTCAAATACTTATTTCCCTCATTAAAATGCAAATCAATTTATAACATTTTTGACATGCGTTTTTCTGGATTTTTTTGTTGTTATTCTGTCTCTCACTGTTCAAATAAACCTACCATTAAAATTATAGACTGATCATTTCTTTGTCAGTGGGCAAACGTACAAAATCTGCAGGGGATCAAATACTTTTTTCCCTCACTGTACCTTCATGAGATTATTAGGCCTAAAACTATTCTACGATCATACAAGAGGTTTTGCAATGGTTCTGTAGTATCTGAACATTTATAGCTTTGGCTGAGGTTTTCATATTGTTGGTTAATGAACTTTGCTTTGCTGGAACATCTGGAAAGTGTTACTATAGGGGCCCCCTAAAATAGTGGACATGGGGATATGTGGAGGCCAGGGATTGGTCTATTCAAAACACGCCATTTTGTGTTACATAATAATAATAATAATAATATGCCATTTAGCAGACGCTTTTATCCAAAGCGACTTACAGTCATGTGTGCATACATTTTTACGCATGGGTGGTCCCGGGGATCGAACCCACTACCCTGGCGTTACAAGCGCCATGCTCTACCAATTGAGCTACAGAGGATATATACCATGTTTGAACAAAGGGACGAAGAGAGTGATCATATTTGAGATTGGGTTAGTTGCTCTCCAGATTCTGCAGAAATCTGTAAATTGATGCTGAAATCCTTGATATAATAAAAGTTATAATCAAGTACAGTGTCAGCGGATTCCTTGTCAACACAGCATTACAGCATCGTTGTCTCGACACCACAGAAATTGGCGACGAGGATTTTGGGACGTGTTGCGTCTATTTCAGCTTTGCATTATGGGCTCCGTGCTGACTCTAGCTCCAGAGTCCGGCAGATAAGGGTGAGCTTTCTCACAACTTTGGGCGCTGGTCAGTTCGGGTGACTGTGTGTGCGTTGGGGGGACGCACCGTGAAGGACCGGTGTGTGCCTTGCTGTTATTGCTGTGTGATGAGTTTCCGTTCTAAATTTCTAAATTTGTTTGCGTTGTTTCGGGGGGAGTGTCTATATAATACAAGACCTAAGGAAAAAAGGAATTGATAACACTGGGCCCAGGGAAATTTGGCTTGAATAAAATTAAAGGGAAAAGGAATAAAATAACGGAATAGAATGGAAAAGGAACTAAGGAAAAATGTATACTGTTAGGACGTCGCTGATCTACGGAAGCCCTCAAACGAGGCGATTATTAGATTGGCCACAAATCCTGTGAATTCACTAGGTGGATTTTCGGGTCAGTTCAAGGAACTGGAGATTGTAGAATATACATTCAATTGTATGTTACCTCTCGGTATATAGTTGACGAGGTATATGTCCGAAGTAGCCTCTCATTGAATATCTGCAACTCAAGGTAGCAAAAATTTAGGAAGGAAAAAGGAGAAAAAGGAGCGACGGAAGCATGCTTTAGATATTGTATGAATGGATGCATTCTTGTTGATTATGTGTGTGTGAGAGAAAGAGAGTGTGTGTTTGTGCAAATAAAGAGGTCTCTGCTGACTTGGCAACAGACTGATCAATTGATGTAATTGAGAATTGCACATTGAAGTTTATTTGTGCATGGGTTGTTTTGATTAGAGTTGTGTTGGAAATCCAGCACTGAGATTATTCTGTAAAATTAAAGTGATTGGGTGCTTATTAAGCAATTGGTTTGTGGGTGCTGTAGTGTTGCTGGATTGCAGGTCTTTCTTTTTTGATTGCTCTGAAGTTGACTAGTTTCCTTTACTTTTCTGTATCGGATGTGGTAAGATTGCCACTAATCAATAATTTGGTAGAAAATAAAAAAATAAAAAAATAGGAGGGAACGATAAGCTACATAGCTTAAAGTATTTTTTGGTTTACAAATTAATTAGTTTAAAATAATAATAATAATAATAATAAATAAAAAATTCACAATAAAGGAATATAAAAGAGTTGTTACAATGCGGAAAA